ACCAGTAAATATGCCCATTCTAACAGAAAAGAATAGAAAAGAATGGGACCAAAGTAAGACTGAAACTTAGCAGGGTAAACTTTAAATCCTATAGCTTCATGTCTAGGATCTGGGGCACATGGTGGTAAGACATGAGTTCCAGAGGACTTGGCAGCCTCACAGCTAAGGGTTGTACAAGTTGTAGCCCACGCAATTTCATGTTCCTTGTATCTTCAAGGTCTCAACTGCACCTTTGGATTTATGCCCCCATCCCCTCTCTGGTTCACCTTGCCTTTTTTTTTTTCCAGGTCTTCCATTGAAATCTGATGGAAACTTTCATAATCCCACAACTCTTGCACTATGCTTGTACCTGGAAATCCAGCATCGCATAGACTATACCAATGTCTGTTGGTGCTCAAATAGTAGCTAGGTCCCCATAGACCACAGCTATCAAGGCCGCTGAGATCCTGGATTGCAGAGCATGATGAAACTAATTATAAGAAAACAGATCCTTTCTTGAACAGGGGTCTTGGGGGCTCTCTTCTTACATAAAGCGTTCGCTCTTTTTTCACCCTTGAACCTGAGATTAATTGGCTCTTGCAGGTTCTTCACATACCCTCAAGGCTTTCTTTTCCTGGTTCAAAATTCTATCATCTTATTAGTGGTGCTAATCTCTTCAAAAACCACATCAGCTTTACATGTGATTCCTTTAATGCCAAAATTTAAGCTTCTTAAATATCCATGCTTTTTTTAGTCTTGATTCTCATTATGTATCTGTCTAAAAGCAGGGAGCAGTACCTATGCCATAGCCTAAATATTGGTATACCTGTAGATTTCTCCATCAGATCAACTAGTCCACTTCCCTTAAATAAACCATCCTGTAGAATCTCAGGACATAGGAAAATATCAAATTTTCTGGCAGACTATAATATGACTGGCCTCTAGGCCAGTTCCCTATATAGTCCTCATTCCTAAGAGAAACTTCTTGAATCTGGCCTTTTCTGTTGGCATTCCCATCAGGATTATAGAATTTTGAGCTCTGTTCAGAGTTGCCCATCCAGCTCCACTTACAGTATTCTAGGACTTCTCTAGCTGGTATTGGTACTTTTCCAAACTCCTCTCATAAACTAGTTTCAAAGGCTTTTTACCTGCGTGATCAGCAATGACTCAACTCCTGGTACGAATTTTCTATGTTGGTCAGCTTTCCCATCATTGAGGTGCAAGACTCAGCATACATACCTGAAAGGAAAAGTTTAATCTGGTTCATGGTTTCAATTTCTGCATAACAGAAATACCATGGCAGAAGGACACGTTAAAGCAAAAGTGCTCATTTCATGATGCTCAGGAAGCAGAGAATAGGAACTGTGCCAGAGAGGAAGAAGCCATGACTTGCAAAAAATACATGCTGGCTGTGTTTCTTTCTTGGGTTGCTCTCAAGCCAATCAAGTTGAAAATCCAACTTAACTCTCCCAATATTGGTTTCTGGAAAAGCAAAATCCTGGTGACACAAAAACAGCAATTTTCTCCAGTTCTTGAGCACATTCCCATTTCTTTGTACTGTACTGTATGGTTAATGTTGGTAATTTTAATTCAACTTTCACAGCATGAGTGCTATCAATGTTAATCATTACTGCTTTGTTCATGAGTAAATGGAGACAAAGAGAGGTAAAATGAGTTGCTGTAGATCACACAATTGATAAATTGAGAATGAGGATTTGGACCATAGTTTCGAATAGCACATTTACTCACAGACTTGCAAGGGAATGTAGTGGTGACCTAACTTCTTTTAGTTTTGACACCAACAAGTAATCCAATGCACATTGTAGGTCTTCTGAATATCTGAGTCCTTTCCTTTCAAATGCTGGATGTGTTGCTGGTTGAGCATAGCCTATCCAGATGGAAAGAAGCTATCCACCATCTTCAGACCAAGATACAACAGTTTAATTTTCTATTTTATGAGATGTTCAAAGAAAACTTATATTGATCTTCACTTCTCAAAGAGATCTTAAGTTTTAGGTGACATAGTACTTCTCTATTTGGTTTTTGTGTTTTTTAAAATTACTTTTTCATACTACTTAATACTCAAACAGGCAATAAAAGCTTTGTTTACTTCAAGTAAGTCTCATTTAAAAATAGGTATGCATTTAGATTTATTATAATATTACTAGGCTCAGACAAAGTGATTAATAGGTACATGAATTTGTACACTCCAACAATTGTTCAATGTAACCTCTACAATTTGAGTATCTTTTTCTTTCATTTTTAAAATAGTTCCTTTAGCTATTATGGAACTATTCAAAAAAGAGTAAATCAGTCTAGGTGAATGCCAGATTATAGACATACCTGTATTGTACCATATGAAAAAAGGGTTAAGATTTTTAAGATAAAGATGTCTTTGCTTAAACCTTGTCTCAGAGAGTTAGATTTCACAATTTCAGTTTCACCTTTTATTTTTCTATGAAAACAATAAGCTCTATCAAATATCTCTATACTAAGGACTAATATTGCCCTTATTTGAAAGTAAATCAATCATGAATCACAATAGATGCCTTCAACCAATCTTGATGAATCTGTATGTCTTGTAGGATGGCTTTATATATTTTGAGTCTTAGATAGTTTGCTCACAGTCACAAGAACACTGTTGTCAACAAAGTTTATATAAACAAAACACTATTTAGCAGTAACTATGTGCCAAACACTAGTTTACATTCCTCAAAAATGTTAACTCATTGTATCCTCATGTAACCTTTTGATTATCATATCGGTACAGTGTCAGGAGCATCTCATGCTCTCCTCACAAATCTTCCTATTACTGCTTCTAATTGAGGGTTGAGTGAATCAAGGGAATATATCCACAATGAAATATCACCCCGTCTCCTAATCAGGAGTGAAGGATCTAGATGAAATACTGTTTTATTGTGCAGTTAAAACATCAAACTAGAAACTATCACATCGAGTGAAATTAGCCGGATTCAGAAAGTTCAGTATCTCATGTTTCCCTCTAATATGAGGAAAATGTAAATGTGTAAAATAATTAATAAGTAGTTAAAATAAAGGAGAGAGGGTGGGAAACTGGGAGGTAGAATTCCAGAGATGGGGAAGGGGGCAAGAGGGAGGGAGGAGAGAAGGGTGAAGGCTCTAGGGAACGGCGTTCAGATTCCTTAAGTGCATGTACTGACTTCCCACACACCCCATCGTCAGTGTGGTGCTAGCAGGCATTAATGAGATAGATAGCAAAATAGACAGTCAGCCGAGCTTTCTGTTTCCGAAGTCCTGGCCTCTTTGGATGCCATTTGGAACTTTATCTGACATAATTTTCCTGTCATTTTTAACTTGCAAAACCCCTGTCCTCTTCTATTACTGTCTTTGATGCAAAGCTGTACTTTAAATATCTTATTGAGGGCCGGGGATTTAGCTCAGTGGTTTCGCTGCCTGCTGTGCAAGTGCAAGGACCCAAGTTCGATCCCCGGTATCAAAAAAAAAAAAAAATCTTATTGAAATGTCAGTCACCAGAGATCACAACATGTAACTTTTGGGACAAGAGATTTTGCATACATATATTTATATTTATTTCAGACTTTGTGATGTGCGTACCAAGGTAATTGCTGTATAAATCTTTTTGTGCATTGATTAAGTGTACTAAGAATATGGTGTTGGCATTTCAACATATACGCTGCTCTCCAGCAGAGGCATTCACAATTCATTGCTGAAGCAGGGATGTTAAGTCATCCAAGCGATATTAAATGGAAAATGGCAGTATTGTGAGAAGCTCTGCATACTTGAACTTAAGCAAATAATTTAGTTCTTTAAAACTAAATTGATATTAATTGCATGATGATGCTGGTAGGAGCATGCAACCATGATATTGTTTTCAAGGTGGGCAATATGTTTGAACTGGAATTAAAATTTAAAGCATTTGTCTCCTATAACAACAGCAATTCAGGGTTAATACTTCCAATCACCTTCATTAATAGTATTTTAAATATATTTTGTAGTATGCTAACTTAGTATTTCACAGTAAGAGATAATGCAATATTCTGGATAAAAGTGATTCATAACTCTTATTAGAACAAGAGTTTTCTTATCTGAATAACCTGTAGGATAACTGTGAGAGAACTCAAAAATTATCTGTTGAGGATTTACTATGTAATCAGATTCTGAGACTAGGCTAGAGTGGTGAGCAAAAGCAATTTTGCTCCTTATCCTTGTGGGCTTTATAGTCCAGTGAATGAGACAGTAGATGATAATCAGCTCTGTGTGAATGGACGGGTGTATTTAATACTGCAGTGGGAGGTGCTGAGAGGCGCGGGCTGCTGGGAGATCCCGCTATGGGAACTGGGTATAAGGGGAACTAACATGAACTGGGTATGGTGGCAGAGTAGCACTGGGACGGAATTAGGGTCACTGTGAAAGGTTTATTAAATGATCTAAGTCCACCGCCTCTTCGCCAGCATTTCCACACAGAGGCATTTTCACCAGAAGAATAATTGAGGGGTAAACTAAGTATTTGAGCTACAGAAACAATGTATTGGTTTTATCATTAAATTATTAGAAGTAGCTTAATTATCTAAAAATAAGGAATTAAATTTATTATGTTGTAAAGTTTAGCAACTACCAAAAATCCTATCTAAAAATTGTCATACAAGATGGTTGGTGAAAAATAGTAGATTATGAAATATTAAGCACGAGAAAAGCCTTTGCCTTTACCCTGATCTTACCCTTTCTGGTTACTCAGTTTCTTTTGTTTGATTTCAGATTTATCGATAATAATAGCAACAGTAGTAGTAGCTGCTAATACTAGCCAGCCTGGTGCTAAACACTTTATCCATGATTTCAATGTATTTTACATAAAGCGCGAAATGGGTACTATTAAATTGATTTCTCTTCGTGTTTGGAAAATCTTATGTTGCTAAATATAGATGTGTATTCCCTTATGCCTCAAAGAGAGGTTCAGTGCTCATGCTGTTTTCATGCCTTTCCTTACTGCTTTTTATCTAAGCAAAATCATTCTTTTCCGACAGCATTCTGTGAAGAGGGCTGCAGACACGGTGGGACGTGCGTGGCTCCCAACAAATGTGCCTGTCCGTCTGGATTCACAGGAAGCCGTTGCGAGAAAGGTAACTGAGGCTGTCTTTTCAGATTGGGGAGCAAGATGTGCAGAGGAATGATGGAGAAAGAGTGGAGGCGCCTTTTCTAGGCAGAGACAGGGTTTTGTGATACACTGTGTCTGATGTGTCTGATGGTGAGCGGGGCTCTCTCCCAGTGGAAACCTTTGGGTTACTCCATAAAAGGCCTCCTCCTCCTGCAAACAGAGCTTCATTTGCCCTCCCTTCCATGCATTTAATCTAGCAAAGCCAAGTCTTTCGTCTGCGATAGTTTGCACTGTGCATTTTCAGTGCTAATTAGAGATAAAGCCTGATGAACTGACCTGACCCACTTATCATCAGTTGGGTAGCATCATATGCGCCTATTAGAGTTAAAATAATCTGCGGCATCAGCGGAATCTAAATTAGCAGCACATGCTCCTTGCGTAAAAGCACATTAAATAACTCTAGCAGCGGGTTTATTTGCATGCTTGGGATTTTATTCGAATATTGGTTTATTAGGAACGTTATCATTCATAGACCTGGTAATATAAGCCAATTAGTATTAGTAAAATTTCATGATATATACCTTTTAATTTTCACTAAGTGTAGTGTTTACAGTTGGCACTATTTAGTAAAATCCTCCTTTCTTATTGATTGAAAAAATCCAGTCTGTGTACAAATGAAATTTGATGTTCATGCCAGGGTGTATATCAATACAAGCAAGGGGTTTCTGGCATGTGAAAGTAAATGTTTAAGTTTACTTTCCCATGGATTTTATTAGCATTAAATCCCTGCAGTGTGCTTTTCTTTGTATATCACACTCGATGCTTCTTATAGCATAGAAAAGAAAAATAGAATGCTGTATCATTATTCCTGTTACAGGTATTAGATGAAGGGGTGAATATCTTCATCTGATGAGGAAGATGCAAGCAAAGCTGTTGTTTCTTTCTGTTCATGTTTAAAAGTTTCTGAACTTCATAATTTTTTTTCTTTTGGTACTGGGGATCGAACTCAGGACCTTTCACTTTTGAGGCAGGTGGTGGAACCACTGAGCTAAATCCCCGGCCCTAGATAATATGTTTTTTAAAAATTAGCTTCTTTATTATACTCCATCCTGACTGATACATTACATTACGACAACTAGGATATATATCCTAATTCTTTTAAAAAGCTATCAAAATGTAACTACATAAATTATTTAGCAAGGAAATCAATGAATGATATCTGCATTGTTGTTCCCATATTTTGGGATGTGATCAACAAACCAAATTACATAAATTAAAAATAATTAATTGGTTTGTTCTTTCAAAAGACATTAAAGTGTCAAATACTGCCTAAGTAGCATGAAAGAATTACCAGATGGAATTGAAGAATATTTGCTCAAAGCGAAGAAACTTAATGATAACTTCACACATCCCCCATTGCAGTACATTTAATTTTAACTAAGTTTTCTAACTAAATGAAAAAAATAAGAATTTTCCTTACTTCCTTTAGATCTACTATTGTTTCCTGGACTGATGATGTAGGAAGTAGTAAAGACAGAAGTGTGAGAATGGAAACGTAGTGATGATGGATACTCCTGTAGTGGAATTCCAGTTGTTGGGTACTAATTATGCATGAGGCCATTTCAAATATTTTTAATACCAAAGAACAGATGAAAGAGGTAGAGTCTTTACTTCCATTTTATGGATGGCAAACTAAATCTTAAATAGATAATTAACTTCTGCAGTTATTAAAACAGAATAAAACTCAAGTTACCCTGCACAAGTCTTGTATTCTCCAACTTTATCTGTGGGTCTCAGTGGCAATGCATGGAATTGTGTTTAAAATATGGACTCACTGCCAATTTTCCAGACTGGGTGAATGAGAATATTAGGGAGGTCGGTCCACACATCTGCATCTTCATCAAGCTTCTCAAGTTATTGGAGTATATAACCACAATAGTAAGAAGGTTATTGTTCTTTTTATATTATAATAATTGGAAGGGGTGGTGCATTTCCATAGACTAGGTCCTGTTGTCAGTGTCAGACCAGGAAAAGTTGATTCTGGTTTCTCACACTTTGTGAATTTGTCCTTTGTCCTTTCTTCCACTCAATAACTGACTGATTGAATCAATGGCTTTCACTGTGGTCCATAATGTGGAACAGAAAACTATAAAGAAGAAAATCAAGGCCAGGAGTAGAAAGAGAGACAGGCAGCCTGTGGTTTTCTAGATAAATGTTAAAATTAAGGTTAATAATTGCACATTCTTGAATTATACTATCCTGTCATAAGGGAAAATACATTAAAATTAATCAAGCTCTTTCTGCATGTGATGATTTCTTCATCTGTAGCAGTCGTTCCAATATCCTAATTCTACAAGATTTTTCATGAAAAGGATAAAATACATATTTTCCAATCGATTGTGTTCAAAGAATCTAGACGAATGATAGGTGAATGAATCTGTGCTGTGATTTGTCTGAATTATTGCCTCATGTTCATCATTAGTAATAAACATTAAGTAAATCTCTTTGTCAGCGAATAGTCATTCTCGACATCTTGAAATTCAGAATGCCAAAGAATAATTGCAAGTGTGAATGTCTGCTGTCATGATTACACTAAATCTTTGATTTGATTTGTTTTAATTTCAGGACTATCAAACTAGGCCCATTTGAACTACATAGAATCCATTTATAGTTAGTCTTAAATATATTCACTTGACCCTCTGAGTTATTGATTTTACTCATTGCTTTTGATATTTAGCTGTTTAAAATTCAAGTACACTTAATTAAAATCATTAAAATTGCTTGTTAAAGAAAATATTCATCTAGAATATAAAAAAGTTAAATATCTCACATTTGCAGCATATAACACAAGATGGTACAACTCTTCATTTTTTTCTCCACTGATAACATTTTAGTGAATTTTAAATTTCCATAACACTGCTAGGGATGAGCCAACTTAGCTTCAGTGGCCTTCTGGACAACACATTATTTCTTCTCTTTATTATCTTTGTTCTTTCTCTGTGCCTGTGGTTGAATTGGTTTCAGAGCTTCAGAAATGAGGTAAAGAATCCTAACAAGTGTGGTTTGGGACAGAAAGCAGATGGGGGTGAAAGTTTTCTTTTCCACTTCCCCAAGAGGTAAAGGGTAAGATTCCACCTGACACAGTGGAGAGAACCACAGAACAAAATGGAAAAAACACAGAGTTCTCTGAGAGGCTTTCCAAATGTAAAATGAATGAGCCAAACTAAATATGTTAGCTGCCATAAAAAGTTTTTCATCTAATATGTGAGTGAGGCTGAACTTTCCACTTGGTATTGCTACCTGAAAATCTGCAAGCAGCACCAAGTGTATACTCAATACTAGGTATGGAGCTGTTCCTAGACCAGAATTCCTTAACTCAGACATCATCCTGGAACAGATGACTTCTTGTGGAGAACTGGGTTATGCACTGTAGGATATTCAGCAGCATGGCTGAACTGACTTTTCTCCTAAGTGTCATTAGCAACCCACCTCCAGGTAGAATAAACAGAAATGTCCCCAAACATTGTCAAATATCTTCCGCTAGGAAAATTGTCCCCATTGAGAACTCCTGGCCCTGATGTAATAGTTTTTTTAAAGCATATATACAAGGGATGATCAAAAACTCCAGTGAATGTTTAAATATTTTTAACTTAGTTTTGGAAAAGAGAAATTTCCCAGAATTACAGGATAAATGTGTTCAAAGCAAAGAGGAGTACTTAGACTATTAAGAGGGGAATTAATGGCAGTGTGTCTTTTACTGTACTAAATATTCTTATTTCAGTATTTACTGTATTTTTTAATCACACCTTATTGATCAAACATTTATGGTAATTTCCACCAAACAAAAGCATTATGATTTATCATTACCCACTTTATTCACTGGATCTGGTACTATGTGACTTCTAGATCTTCACCAAAGGCAAAAGGACTGTGGGAAGTAAACGTTTTGAATAGATTCAAGGTGTCAAGGCTGCCATGACCAGTACAGACCCTACTGAAAGAGGACTTCCAGAACTGCTTCATAAAAGGGCAAGAATAATGGGATGAGTGTGTTTGAAGTAAGGAATATTTCAAAGGGGATTCATAGCAATGTGTCTTTTACTGTAATAAATTTTTTAAACATTTAAATGTTGACCATATTATTTGATCCTGCCATATATATGTGATATATGATATATGATATATAAATGAAATAAAATACAGAATGCAATGTAATATATAATATATATTTAGAACAAATATCTCAGTTTCATTGAAATAGAAATATTGTAAGCACTTTTGTAGACAAATAAGATTTTAAGCATGTTTTGAACCTTTTAGATGAGCTTAGGGTTAATCATAATTAGAAGATTCCTGATCATTGAAGAGCCAGAGTCGGGCTGATGTCTGTCATGAGTGGATGAAGCTCTTTATAGTCCTAAACACCAGGTAGGTGTAGAAGCAGCCTGCTTTGTGCCTCCTCTTCCTTACTGTTGAAGGAAACAGATGGATGTTCCAACCTCACACAGGAAACATGAGATTCTAACTCTCGTTTTTTCCTGAAGGACAATGTAATCTTTTGTAGAAGAAAACTTTGAGTGTAAATAGTAAGAAGACATTTTCTCATGTAGAATTAAACTTAGTGTACATATTTTAAGGAGAATTTGTACTAACATGCTTTCTCCATGACTAAACTAATTGATTAAGCACTTTTTAGGAATTTGGACAAGGATATATATCAAGATGTTTGCTTGTGATGATACAGAGAAATCAGCCAATTATAGTACATTTCCTCTCTTACATATTAGATTAATTCCAAACTGTATGAATACAACTGTGTAAACAGTATGTGTCACTAACCAGTGTATTTTGAATCAGATTGCAAGAGGTGGTTAGTACAAGTCACAGCATAGGACAAACTACAGTCTAGTGTGCAACAGTTAGGAAAACAAACTAATGTTTCAAAAATGACATCTTAGCTTTTTCTTACAATTGTTTGGGAAATGAGTTATTCTAACTGCTATTCAGGAAACTCACATAATTATT